ATTTAGACCTTTTTTATGTGACGCAACCTCAAATATTAGGGTTGTCTGGTTTCAGAAATTGTTGTGGATGTATAGGCTATATACAGGAAATAAGGGGCCAAAATTGCACCTTTTGGGGTACAACAGCTTGTCACTGGAGCAGGACCCTTAAAAGGACATATTTGTTCATTTTTTTTACCCCGAATAGGTAGGCCTACAAATTAGTACCTTACGGGTACGAATTACTACTCTTAAGGTACTAATATGTATGGTGTACTGCTAGGTGTCAAGCTGTTGTACCCCTATACAATTTTGGCCCTTGTCTTTCTGTGTGGCCTGGATGAGTGTGAGATTTCCCGGCCTGAAATTGCATCCCAGTCCGGCCCTGATTCCTGCTACTGGACACACATCAGTATGACACAAGTCTCCACTCTCTCTCTCTCTCATACAACCTTTCTTGCTCTTTTTTTCCAGAAGGTGCTTCAGAACAGTCGGCATGTTGGCATGAGGTTGTCTTGTCAAGCATTGTTCTCAGTCAAAATACGGCCACAGAGCCACAGAGTGGACTGTCACTGAGAGATCCTGTCCACTTGTGTCAGTCCTACAGAAAGATAACTGATCAAAAAAGAAAGACACAGTTTAAAGTCAACATCAAATCATATACTTCCATAATGTGGCGTAGTTATGACTGAGACATGGTATTCAATGAGATAAAACCAAAGAGAGGTTGGTCATGTCTGGCAAAAAAACAAAAAAAAACGGCTAATTTCAACATCAAATCAAATCTGACCACATTTAGTTTCTTAATGCCCAGTTCTGCTCATGGTATGAATGATTCACCATTTAAAAGTTTTATTTTTTTTAATTGATACTTTTATTCAGCAAGGTGCAAGCTTTTGAACTTTATGATCATCAAAGAATCCTGAGAAAGAAAATTATGGTTGATATTAATAAGAAATGTGTCTTGAGCAGTAAATTTGCATATTAGAATGAATTCTGAAGAATCATGTGACACTGACGACTGGAGTAATGATGCTGAAAATTCAGCTTTGCCATCACAGAAAAAAAAACAAATGAGGAAATAAATTTTTTTTTTAATATATATATATATTCAAATAGAAATTAGTTATTTTAAAATGCAATAATATCTCACAATATTGCTGTTTTACTGTATTTCTGATCAAATAAATGTTGCTTTTGTGAGCATAAGAGATTTCAAAAACATTTTAAAAAATCTTACCGACCATTTTTTAAATTTTATAAAAAAATCATTTTTCATTTTATTTTCAGTCGTGTCATTTGATAGAAATGTTCTGTTTAATCATAATCGTCTCATGATCACGCAACAAGAAATATATAATGCCACCAGTGTAGTCTGATATACCCATATGTGCTGGTTCTTAATAGTGAATTAAAAACATACAGCCTGACCAATGCAGCCCAATTCTTGAATGAGTCTTTTATCTGTTTTAATGTCTAGTTTAAAAAAAAGATCAGTTTGAATCTGTCTGGAACACTGCTCTGTCCATTTTATTAGCAGAGAATTTCTTTCATACTGCAAAAAGTAAGCAAATTGGACTACAACAAAAATATACCATAATGAATCAGAACTTAATCAAATTAAAACAAAACCAAAAGTGATACTCAAATGCCCTCTACCACAACCCACTCTTCCTCTGAAATGACTTTTGTCATTTTCGTTGACATCACTTTGGCTTCACGTGCTGTTGGATATAATATTATAAACCATAGGCAACAGATATTAGATATTTAGCGACGTTCTCATTTGGAACACTCACTTTTCACAATCCAGTCAATAACCAAAGTACAAAATCAAAGCCAGGTAAACAGGGCTATTTGATACAGACTTTAAGTGAACAGTGCTGTATTGTGCTGTGTCTATAGAAAATCCAGTCAGAATTTTTTAAGCTCTTCGAATTGTTTTTACCCCTCTGACCCACTTCTAGATGCTGTTTTTGTGAAATTAAGATTTCTGTTCAATACAGAGAAAGAAGCAGCAGAAAAACATTGTGTTCTGTCCTGGATTTTAACATTAATACGATGGACCTCAGGGGACCCCGACTGGGATAAAGCTGAGTGCAGGGGATGGACATTAGTAATCAATAAAAATCCTTGAGGCTTATACGGCCTGGTTTCATGAAGTGTGCTTTCTCCCCCTCCCCTGCCTGCACCGCTGGAGTCTTTCATGTGGTGGTGTTGTTGATGGGAATAGGTCAGTCAACACGGTGAATCTGATGCTTATTTTGTCTTGTGTTGTCAGGACCATAGCTGTTTGGTGGAGTGTATGGTCAGCATGGATCAATAGCCTTTCCTCTTACTTGCTGCACCCTTGCTGACAACAAACACGCACAGCATTTACCTCACACACAAATCAGGTGGACAAAGGCAGACAGATGAAGAGGGTGAGGTGGGTCAGAGGTGCAGGTAATTGGGGAGAACTAGGGAGCGGCTACATATAGAAATACACATTAACAATGAGAAAGACAGATTGAGGTGACTCCTGTTGAAAGATGTGATGTGTACCCTGTACACAAACAACTCAATGTAAGATTTTTTTTAATGATAGGCAGCATTGGAGAGTAATTAACTAAAAATAGTAGATCAACGCTACTAACTTAACTACAGTTTTCAGTAGCTTTCAAAAAGAGCAAAAATATATATTTAAATATATATTATAATATAGTATAAGTGAGCAAAAAAAAAAAGCTACATTGTTGTTTCTGATGTTGCAAAGCATTTATACATGCACCAAATGAATCGACAGTAAATTAATTAAGAGTCACTGATTCAAATACATGATATTTTTATTACTACATACAGCTATTTTTTTTATAGCGAATGGCTATAACTATATTTTTGATTATAAAAAATTATGAGTAGCAGGGTGTATTCTAATTTTTATTGTTGAATTTATTCTATTTAATCCTGTCACCCTAATTGAGATCCATTCATTCATTTGTTCGTTTGTTCATTCATTTCAGAATCCTCACTGTTTTGGTTTTAGAAAAAAATATATTGAGTATTATATAAGCTACAACTATATTTATAACACATTAATTATTATTATTATAAAAAGTATAAATTATGAATTCAATTAAGTTAAATCACTACACCTGAACAAACAGAAGTACACTAAATTAAATGGTTTATTAAAAAGATTTGATAAAGAACCTGCAATATCTTTTTTAATATACAATCCAAGGCCTAATTAATTTTATTTAAACAGATATTGCCCCATTAGTTAGCTACTTTTTAGTAGAAGTTTGAAGTGTACTACACCTACACTCTAAAAAATGCTGGGTTAAATACAACCCAGTGCTGGGTAAAATAGCGACAAACCCAGCAGTTGGGTTGTTTTGACCCAGCGGTTGGGTTACTACCCAGAAGGTTGGGTTAAACATTTAACCCAACCGCTGGGTCAAAACAACCCAATTGCTGGGTTTGTCCCTATTTTACCCAGCACTGGGTTGTATTTAACCCAGCATTTTTTAGAGTGTAATACATACTGAAACCACATTTTTAAAAGAGCCTGACTGTAGTTACTTTAAATTAAAAGTAGCAAGTGCTAACAGGTTACACCAGTTTAGTATAGTACTTCTTTTCTGGGATTCCCATCATGCAAAGCAGCAAAGCGCAAAGGGAACACTTAACTCTAATCCATCCTGCAGCAGAAGGCCTATGTCATGACGTATGCGGTGGCACGCTGACCCATCTCACCCACCCCTC